CCTATGTGTCAGGTCCCTCTTGGAATTTGAAGTACAAAGCTGAGGGCCAACTTGACTGATGTCATAGTGACATAACCACAGTGATCATGACAGTTTTATCAGAATTAAAATTATAGGGTCTGTGTAAGATAGTGTTAAGAGAACTGAAACACAAGCTATGGGCTGGGAGAAAGCATTTTCAATTTATTTATCTGATACAGGATTTATATTCAAAAACTAAAAAAATAGTTATTAAGACTCAGTAACAAGAAGTTAACTCAATAAAAATGTGCAAAAGTTTTGACACAATTATTGAAGAAGACTTAGGAATGGCAAATTCACAAGTGAAAAGCTAGCTGACTTCACTAGTCCTTAGGGAAAGGCAAATTAAGACACAGTTTGGCAGCTTTCTGCAGAGCTCAACGAGCACCGTCTTAGGACTCAGCCCTCCACTCGAAAGCAGACCTGTGTGGGTAGAGCCCGCCCCTGCAGATTCCAACAAGACCATTCTCAGCAGCTGCTTTGTCAGTCAGCAACGTAGTCACTTTCCTCATCCCTGAGACACAGTACCTGATACTCAAAACTTAAAGAAGGAGAGGTTTATTTTGACTCACGGTCCATAGCTGGCTGGCTCTGAGGCAGGCAGCCTGGCAGAGGGGCCTGGCCTGGCGGAGGAGAGCTGCTCACCTCATGGTGGACCGGAATTAGAGAGAGAAGGCAGGAGCCGGGAGAGGAACCCTTCCAGGCCACGCCCCAGGGGCCGCCTCTTCCAGCCGGACCCCACCTTCCAATGGCAAGGCAGCTGTGAGCCCCCATGATCCAATCACCAGATACAAATGCTAACAGTAAGCAACTGGACACAACCTAAACGTCCATGAACAGAACCTACATGGTCCTCCCTGCAGCACAAGGCTTAGCAGCAACAGTGTGAGCCAACGGTAGGCACATGGGTCAGGGCAGCACCAGTGAGCTGTTCGAGGCTGTGCCTTTTGGGAAGAGCCAGTCCCCTGGCTACCTGTTGAGATAAAGTCACTTCTTCTGAAGATGTCCTCAGTGTCTCTGATGGGATCCTCTACCCTGACCTGGAACTGTTCCTTCTCAGCTTAGGGCTGCGCTACCCAACTGCCGGTTGGCAGTGTCGGGAGGGTCTCTGCTTTGGCTGGCAGGGGAAAGTGGCCATAATGGGATTGAATCTTTCATGAACAAATGACTAATGCTTATATTACATCATCTTCCTTTGCAATTCTGTGACTACTCTGTGACATAATAAAAATAAAAGATCATTGCTGAATGATACTTAAATGCTAGGACAGCAGCATTTTGCACTAAAACTCACTGGCCAATTAACTACTAAAACAGTAAGAGCACAATTTTAAAAAATATTTCAAGCTGAGTAAAGTGCTAACTTCAGCACAGATGGAGTGAATAAGGCAAGAAGAAAATGGCTAGCCAAGGTTCCAACGCGAGCCACATGCTTTTTCTGGGGCAGAAAGTCCCGAGTGGTCGTGAGTGCATTCTCCACGAGCCCCTGGGGATGCACACAGGCTGACACTGACAGGCTGCTCATCTTCCCGGGCTGCAGAGCGAGAACTAGGGTAATGAGCTGATCCCAGGCACCATGCAGAAACCAATAAAGGCAGGGCGAGCAGCTGGTAATGAGCGTCCCTCAGCAGCTGTAAATTAAGTGTGCTGAATCAGAACCTTTAAAGCCAAAATCCAAAGAAACTGGCCTAAAAACACACAAGAGCGAGATGAGCTGGCACAGACATCTTCTCCCACCTGAAAGTTACTGTTGAATTCGTTCCTAGCAGAGTAGGGCAATAAGAAGTGAACGCGCACATTGTGATCAGCAGTGGGCAGTTACTGCGGGCTCCTGTTAGAGTGTTGGCGCCCTCAGCACTAACAGTGAGGAACGGGAAAAGCCGTGCAGGAGTCAACTGCGGGAAGAGCTGTGTGCACGGCCCCTGCCTGAGGCGGGCCACCGGCCACTGACGTGGGGGAGCCCGAGTCCCTGGGCCCGCCTGCCAGCGGGGAGCACCACCCCGGGACTCTTGTCCTGATGCTCTGACAGGAGAGGGGGACCTCCAGCCCACACTTGGGGTGGATCCCGAGCCTTCTGGGACCTGGCTGTCCACAACTCAAGGCTTCCCACAGAGGAGCACTGGGCACTCTTCCTCCGAGACTGCAGTGCTTTGAAAGCACAGGTGCTCCCGCCAGGGAAAGAAAGCTCTGGGCAGGAGGGAGGGTGCTGGCCCCCCCCCCCCACGCGCGCGCGCGCAGGCCCAAGAGCACACACTGTGCTGGGGCAGGGGCAGGTGTGGCAGCAGGTGGCCAGGCTCAGAGCTGGGTCTGGGATCTGCTCATGCTCCTGTGGGCCTGTCACCTGCTGTGAAGATGGTGGTGCCTGGCTCCTCCAGCTGGGGAGGGACTCCAGGACAGACGTGAAGATTTGGCTGAATGTCTTGAAGAGCATGCCTGTGCCCCCGAAATGAAGTGGAGAAAGTGTCCAACAGAGCATGACAACTGTCACTTAAACACTTTAAAGGTGTTAATAAAACAGGTAAACACATTTCACTATTAAAGTCACTTCCCACTGAAGAATATTTAAAAACTGAAGCCACCCTTTGAGGGCTGCCCAAATGCCACCTGGACCCATCAGGATTCTGCTCCCTAGCCATCTTGTTTGTGTCGTGTTTTGTGACAATGCTGGCATCAAAACCAGCTCTCCAGAGAGCCTGGCCCACGGAGCCCAGGAGCAGCCACCACACATGTAGAGACAGTCGACATCACTGGCCTTTCTTCCTGTGTCCTCGGTGAGCCAGGGACCCAGGAACCCACAGGGTCAGCCAGACACGACAAGTGACCCAAAACATGCAACTCCAAAGGGGCACGAGGAAGCAGGAGAGGTCACCCCATCCAGACTGCCACTACTGAGGAGCAGATGTCTCATAGCAAGGCCCAGGCCACAGCAACCCCCAGAAATGAGTGCCTGATTCACGCTATGTTTCCGCTGAATTAAAAATGAAAGTCTTCCCATCTCAACCTTGAGGCTGGGCTGCAGGCCTTCTGCTGCTCTGGGTGAATCTGTACAAATTCTACAAACATGAAGTGCACCGCAAAGACTAGAGCAGTAGAGTATCGCTCGAGGCTAGGCTCGTCACTGGGCACAGAAGAAACCAGGGCATGTAAGCTGCCATGCAGTAGAGCTACAGCGGGGTGCGTGCTGGGGTTTGGCACATCCCCCAGGTGGCGCATCCTCAGAGGTGGCAGCGGACCAAGGCAGAGACTGTAAAGCTGAAGGAACACCTACTGCGGTCCTGGGGAGTGGAGATGGTTTGAGGGGACGGGGGAAGAGAGGACAACTTTATTACAGACTTTGTGCTCCCGCAAAATCATTCACATGGAATACTGGAAACGGTGGGGTCTATCGTGCAGGTGGGGTCCCATTACCATTTACAGACATGTACAGTATGTCCTTCACATAAACCCTGATGGAAATTCTCTTCTACACAGCAGCCACAGGTTCAAAGCCTCGGCATGGACGTTACATTAGTGAAGTGATGATTTCTCTGCAGATCTTAGCTAAGGACCAGACACAGTGCTCAGGCAGCCCCTGAGCAGTGAGTCTGGCATCTGCTGTGTGCCATGCACCATGCAATCCTTCAGGGTCAGGAATAAAATCACAGTGACACTTGACACTAAGCACTGGCCATGGATTGACTTGCTTTGAGTGTGTCTCCAAAGCCCAGTGCTGGAGGCTCAGTCCTTAGTGGTGATGCTGAGAGGGGACCTGCAGAGGTGACCAGAGGGAGGGAGCCAGGTCACTGGCTGACCGTCTAGACCTGTGGAGGCGTGCAGTGGGTGGAGGTTCATCATCCTCAGGGGACTAACGACGTTCCTGTGCACTGTGGTCAGTCCCGGGGACTTAGCTGTCATCACAGTAGCTCTCACACCTCCTGAGATCTTTCTGCACATGTTCCTGCCAGTTTGGCTTCTTCCCGTGTCCCACAGGCCTTCGCACATGGTAAACAGATACATCGGCCCCGTGTTGTGAGCTAAAAATACCTCTTTCCTTTCTAACTTCCCATCCTCCAGTATTTTGCTATAGCAACAGCAAATGGACCAATAAAGCACTGTTCCCTCAAATGTAGTACACCAAGAAGCAAGAGGCCCACAGCACAGCATGCGCCAACACACAGTAAATACTCCAAAAGGCAGCGACGCTCCTAGTTCAACTCACCCCATCAGGGTGTCACTCTTTTCCTTAAAGAATCACGGCCACTGACAGGAGCCACAGGATTCCCAGGCACACCTCTGCTTTCCCCGGCCCTGTGCACTTCTTGGTGTCTAACAGCATGCTTTCCAGTGAGCTCCACACTGCTTATTCTCAATCCGGGACATGCTGGTAGCCAACCACTGGATAAGGCTGAGTCCACGCACACCAAAAGAAGCGTGTTTTAGTGTACATTGTGCTTTTAGTTTCAAGCTCAAAAAAGGTCAGTAAAATGTTATTTTCACAGGGGCAACAAAACAATACCTTAACTGTGTCCTTTTAAGTATGGGTGGGCTTAGAAGTTAGGACCCTTGAATTCAAAAGCTCCTGTTCACTTTACAGTTAGCCACTGAAATTCTAAAAGAAGAAAGAAACTGGTAATAAAGCAGACAAAGGGCCGGAGCAGGCGCCACTGAGAGGGATTCTGGGTGGCACCTGGGTGCTGCCGCATGGAGGGGTGTTCGGCCAGCCCCAGCCCGGTTCGCCCAGCAACTTTCCACAGCGCCCCGAGCCCTTGACCCTGAGGATGCAACGTGCACAAACGCAGAGGGAGCCAGGGTACCAGGCCGCCTCGGCTCTTCTGTCCTTCCCTGAGAGCCGGGTCCCGTCGGGCGTCGGAGGCCTTCCCCTCCCAGCACCCTGCAGCCCACCCCACAGCCCCTCTTCCCACACAGCTCTGCGCTGCCGCCTGGCAGGTCGGCGGGGCAGTGAGTGGGCCGGGCGGAAGGGCGACCACGCTGGTACTTGCCGCTGAGCAGGGGCTTGTTGAGCGTGTAGAGCGGCGGCAGGTCCTCTATGTTGGAGATGCGCTGGTACATGGCCCGGGAGAGGTGGTCGCCATGGTACAGGCTTCCCAGGATGATGCTGGAGAAGTAGATGGGCTCCACGAAGATGCTGAGCAGGGACCCCTGGATGCCCACCACGTTCCAGCTGCAGGGGAGAGACATGGGTTAGAGGGGAGAAGCAGCTCTCGTGGCCTGTGGCAGGCCTGGCGAGGCTACCGCACAAGAGCCACGGCGGGGACCGGCAGCCAGCTGAGCTGGAAGCCACAGTGGTCAAGAGGAAAATCTATCTTAGAATTAAACTGTGAGGAGACTCTAGACCACTGTGTCTTCCATGAAGACGCACCTCCTGGAGGCTCTGTCCAAAAGGGTTATTGGTGGGCCACGCATGCTTCCTGTGCAAGGCTCCCTGGAGAGTGCATCTTTACCAGCTCTTCCGAGGGCCTCAGAACGGGGGCCTGGGCTTTCCCTGCTCCTCTCAACCCAGCCCTGGGAGCCACCCTGCCTCGGGAGAGGTGTGCTGAACTTCCTGCCACCACCTGCCGGGGGACAAGGGTGGGGACAGCGCACTGATGCACTGGAGATGGAGGTGGGGATGCTGGGGTGATGTTTGTCACCCCAGTTATTCAGGAGGACAGCAACCCACTGCACTGGACTCACGGGTGTCTTCCCAGCCCCACAGGTGGGAAACTGCAGCCTGGGCACTGCTGTACTCTAAGCTACTGCTGTGTGCGTCACAGAGACTGGGTGCTGAGCATGAGGGGAGACACAGCTGGATGTAAACAATAAAGCAACGGCAAGGCCAACAAGATGTGAGGAGCTGTGAGCTGAGTCAGATCAATGGGAATGAGAGGACAAGGTTCTGTGAAACAGCAAAAGGGAGTTGTGACATCAGAGGAGGCTCCTTGGGGTGAGCCTGGAGTACACCCTCAAGTGGGGGCCGAGGGAGGAAGGTGCCCCTCAGCCTGGGGACGGGAGACACAGGACAGGAGGGGACAGTCACCGAGAAGAGGCCAGCAGGAGGCCAGGCACAACTCGGAGGCAGCAGCTGGCTCTCACATGACACCAGTGTCCCAGAGGAGGGGCTGAGCAGGTGCACATTTCAGAAAGTGATGGCAGCAGAGCAGGCATGATCACCCGCACAGGGACTTGGGAGATGTCCCAGTAGCAGCGAAGGTCAGAAGCAAGGGCCGGAGTGGCAGGGACAGGGAAATGGGGGAGAAGCTAAAAACCATCAGGTTGGACTTGGGAAATGGGAGTCCTGGGACTAGAGGGGAACTTGGAACTCAGAACATGCAGCCAACTACTCTTCTGCGCCTTGTGATGCCCACAGTGGTCCAAGCCCTGTAGCCCCCCATCCCGGGAATGCAGCAGGAGGCCTCAGAGTTGTGCCCGCCCTGCTGCTTGTACTCAGGCCTGACAGGTGGGAGCCCCGCAGGGTAGAGCAGCGCCCAATCTGCCCAGCTCCAACCTCCAGCTGCTTGGACGGTAGCCAAGAGGGTACAAGGGACCTTCAAAATTAAGATTTTCTTCTTTCGAAGACAAACTTTCTCCAAACTTCCTTGTGCTGAGGGTGTAAACTGCCATCCCCTCCTCTGTAGAAGCCCATCTGAAAGAAACACACCGATGCCAGTCCAGGAGGTTGGAGTCAGTTTTGTTTCCATGAAGGAAGAGAGAAGCCAAGAACAGCCAGGGGTTGAAACCACATGGGCATTTCCTCTCTTGTCTCACTGCATCCTCCCTCTTTCTCCCTCTCAATAAAAGCCTTTGTACACTTGGACACAGCAAGAGGGAGCCTTAAGGAGTAAGAGGCCTATCTCCTTCGGAGCTAGCTTTGAAGAAACATTCTTCCTTCCCACCAAATTAAATGGCCTCCTGCATTTCTTGGGGAGCAGTACGTCGTCGGGACCTGACTGGTAAGTTCTGGCGAGCCAGCAAGAAGGGAAGTCCCAGCTCCGGAGCAGCGCAGGTCTCCTGGGTCCCGAGGTGGGGTGGTGACTACCTGGGAAGGATGATTTACTGTTGGCGGCGAGCTGAGCCCACAGGCAGGACCCCAGGGCTGTCCAGCAGCTGCCAGGGCATCTTGCACCCAAGGAACTTTCCCTTTTCCCTGTTTGTGGCATCAGCTACCTAAAAGCACTTTTGCTGGTGGGAGAAAGGCTTTCTGGGAAGCTGCTGGGCTGCCCCAGATGTTCTGCTGGAAGTGCACACTGGGGACCTGGTATCTCCACTGTCTCAGGCTCATGGAATGGCCTGGGTCACTTCACAGCCCAGTTGGGGCAGGGTAAGGTGCTCCAGTATGGAGTTTAGGCAGTCATTTGGAACTCTTACAGGTCATTTTGGGGTACTGATTCGAACAAGAAAGAAAATTTCTGGGAAATTTATTTTGTTTGAAGAATATTCATTCGGTTTTGGTTTGGTTTTTGTTTTTCTTTGTCTTTCTTATAACCACCTGTATTTCTAAGACAGGCAGTAGGGCTTCAATCTCATTTAGGAGCCCTCTAGAGGTGCCATATACTAACTGGACAGATCGCAGCCAGGCTTCTGTGACAAAATGGAGCTGATATACCATTGCAACATTAATGGCTTAAATATGCATTATATTCTGAAGAAACGTCACCTGACAGTTCTTTATTCTATAACTGTAATATTTTTGTCAAAAATCAGGTAAATGGGGGTAAAAATCCATAGATACAAGCCTTCATGATATTATATAATGAAGCTTATAAAAGGCAGAGAGTTAAATCAGTTTAAAGAGAAGTTTAAAGGGAAATGTTTTAAAACTCAGAGCAAGAACATTTTAAAAATTGAGTAACATCCATAGTAAGGCAGATTTAGAAAATCTTTTCTTCTGCTGTGAAGGCTATAGTTACAACTTCTCTGGTCTGTCGATGTGGTTTTTTATGTGGTCTAAAGCTCATAGTTTTAAGAAATGCTAAAAAGATTTGCTTGCCTCTCTGCAATGGATAAACTGCTACTGTTTTCTCTAGCTCCTTTTTTTTAGGCTTTAGGGAAAATAAACCTTAGAAGGTTATGGTTTACTTAGCCATCATTTACTTCTTTTATAATCATGGTTGAACTATTATTATATGTGATATTACTTACTTTTAAGTGTCTGATTGTCTAGGTATAATTTAGTCAATCATAATGGTTGTCTTAATATACTGTAAAAGCAACTACATTCCTTTTCTAGGTTGCTACCTTGTGTATTACTTATAGTCATTTAGCTGCCAAGAGCTATGTTCCTCTTAGTCAATAAGAGACAATCTTGCTTTATCATAAAAATACCTGGTTTTAATTGGTAAGTAGGCATTAATTCTTGTAGTCTGTATTCAAAACTTTTGCAGTTCTGTTGTGTGTACCTAATAAATTCTAAAGATGTCACTAAACGCTGTTCCTGGTTTTGACACGATTAAATAATGTCATTTCTTCCCAAATGATAACTCACATTAGTTTGCAAGGCAAAGACTCTAAAAATATGCTTAACGCACCTTTTTGATAGAGCACAACTTTTTTCACACACAAAATGGTTTTCTTTGATAAAAACTAGATTTGTTTTACTGGTCTTAGTTGAACATTTGCTTGTAAGTTTTCTAACTATTGCCTGCCAAAGTTGTAATGTTTTAAGGTGCATATAACATCTACAGAATAGATGAAATTAAACTTGGAAATGGACTCTAGGTAAACAACCTAAAAACCACTCTTTGTAAGTCTCTCTTACTGCCGAAATTTGGCTACAAGAGATCCTGGAACTGGCTTGAACAGTCCATCACTTCCCCTCCACTGTGGGACCCAGTATGGCTGACCACCACCAGGAAGAGCTCTCTCAGCTCCGAGGAACAACATCCCACAGGGGGGTGATCACCAATGTTTTCAGAGAAGAAAAAGTGGATTCGGAGATGGTGCCAGCCAGATGACACTGCACCTCAAGCTCTCAAGATCAAGGGCTGGATGCCATATTAATTGGGAAAAAACTGAAGGCTTTCCCTTTAAAATCATGAACAAGACAAGGATGCTCATGCCACAGTGGGCACACAGGCTCTCTCCATTCGCACCTCAGCCAAGTCGCCCAGGAGCTGAGCATTCAGGTTTAATTGCAGTGGTTTTTGGGTTGCAGTTTGGGCACCTGGTCTCTAAAAGGTTCACCATCACTGGTAAAGGGTAAAATAGATCCTTAAAACTAAGAATTAAACACAGCACAAACTTCTCTCTCCAAGCTTCTGAATGCTAAGCACACCTGAGTAAAGTGCTACCCCGGGGCCTGGCCCCACAGGGCTCCACAGTATCTGGCCTGTGGGCCAAAGTGTGGCTAATGTGCACGTGGGTATTTCCTGGCTCCTGTCCTACCCGCTCCATGAAACAGAGCACTTCTGTGAGGGGTCAGAGTAGCCACCCTTCTCATTTGGCCAAATTGTAAGTAAACTCGTTTTTCTGTTTCTAAGTGTCTTCTTGTACTTGGCTGGGGGGTCGGGGTTGAACCCAGAAACCACACAGGCCTGACTGAGCCTGGCTGCTAACAAGGCCACCAGCTGGGGTCACCTGGACTCCACCCTTCCCATCACAGCATTGGGCCAATCCATGGCCCCTAGGGTCTGACCTCTGGCTACCGCCACTGTCAGACCAGGTCGGGTGATGCTCCTGCCCTCTCCCTCCTGCACAGTGCTGGGACCTCCCTGCAGGCACACAGGCCAGCCGGGCCACTCCATCACACACACCCAAACAGCTCCCCAGGGCCATTGTTCCAGGTCCCCCACCTCCCGAGCAGCTGCCCAGGCTCTCCTGTGGAACCTCAGTGCTCACAAGCATCCCTCCCAGGGGGCCCTCACTGGCCCAGCTGCATCTGACCTTGTATCCCACACCGCCCCGCAGGTAATCCCAGGAGAGTCAGGACTGCTCCCCTACTCACTGATCATCCCAGCACAGTGTTTCTACACATAGAGAAGATACATTTGTGCTCAACAGTCGGGCATTTCAATCCCAAGGTCTCATGCCTTCCATTTTCCAAAAAGGAAACGGCGAGAAAAATTTCCCTGTCTAGAGAAAAAGCTGAAATGATCGGATGGCCAAAGGCCTTAGGGCCCTTTCCTTATGCAGATTAGAAGCCTGTGTGGGTTTAGTCATTTTAAGCAGAACATACACACACACACACACACACACCCGGGCACACTGTAAACTATGATCTTGGAAACCTGCATCTGATAGGAACCATTAATTCTGCACAAACCTTCCTAAGAGATTCTAGGCTCTGCTGAGATCATGGCTGGAAAATGGAGAGGTGCTGCAGTCTCAGGCTCCACCCAGACTGGTGAAGAACTATCTAATTTCTTCCTCAATTTCTTCTGTGACCCAGTGATTATTCAAGAGTGTATCGTTTAATTCCCATGTGTTTGCATGATTTCTGTGATTTCTTTTGCCATTGCTTTTGAGTTTCGGTGCACTGTGATCTGATAATATGGATGATAATTTCCATTCTTTTGCATTTATTTAAGCAACCTTTACAGGATAGCATGTGGTCTGTTTTGGAGAATGTTCCATGTGTGCTAAGAATAATGTGTACTCTGTGTGGTAGTACAGAACACTCTGTAGATGTATATATTTAGTCTATACACTTGGAAGTGCGGTTCAGATCTGATATTTCTATGTTAATTTTTTGTATAGCTGATCTATTGGTGAAAGTAGGGTACTAAGGTACATGGATATTCGTGCACCTCTTTTGTTCAGCGTTGCCTCTTTTGATCAATTTTAGCTTGAAATCTACTCTGTCTGAAAACAAGACCAACTCTTGCTTGCTTTTGAGGTCTTAATGCATGGAATAGTTTTCCATCCTTTTGATTTTTAGTCTATGAATTTCTTTTTGGATTAGATGTATCTCTTGTATGCAGCACACCATTTAGTTTTGTTTTTTGATCCAATCTGCCAATTTGTGTCTTTTGATTGGCCATTTATGTTGAAAGTTATTATGGAAAGGTACTGACTTTTTCCTATCATTGCATAATTTTTCTGTTGTTGATTCCGTCATTTTTCCCTTTTGTTTACCCATCCTGCTTGATGTATGCATTTCATCAGAATTTTCAGTATTGTTGGCTTCATCATTCCATCTAGGATATCCTTGAGAATTTTTTGGAATGCTAGTTTGGTGTTTATGTATCTTTGAAGGTACTCTTTGTCATGGAATGTCCTTATTTCTCTTTCAATTTTGAAAGACAGTTTTTCAATATATATTAATCTGGGTTAAAAGTTTTTCTTTTGGGGCCTGAAACATTTCATGCCAAGCTCTTCTGGCCTTTAAAGTTTGCTACAGTTCTAATGGGTTTACCCGGATAAGTGATTTTTTGCTTTTCTCTGACAGCTTTTAAGATTCTGTCCTAATGTTGGACTTCTGGGGTTTGACTATGATGCGTCATGGAGAGGTTCTCCCCTGGTCGTAATTATGAGAGGTTCCAGATGCCTTGCTTAACTGCGTGTTGCATTCTTTCCCCATACTTGGAAAGTTTTCTGCTATGGTTTCTGTGAGCAGATGTTGTATTCTATGTGTGCTGTCCTGGCTCTTCTCTAACTCCTATTAGTCTTAGTCTTCTTTGGATCATCTAGAAGCTGTTGGATCTATTTTCCTTCTTCTGCTTTTGTTTTTAAGGTTTTCCTGAGTATATAGTCCTGTGATCTGTCTTCTCTCCTCCCACTGATCGCTTCTGCTGCTCATATATTAAATAGAATTGTTTACGTCCACAATTTCTGTCTGGCACATTTTCATGGGCTCTGTATTTCTGGTAAATTTGTAATTCATGTTTTCAATGATTTTGGTGAGCTTTTCTAATTCTTTATTTTATTCTTCATTAAATGCATCAATGTATTTATTAATTCCTCTGTCTGTTTAGTTATATCTTCAATCTCACCAATTTTCTTGCTTCCTCTCTGACCACTTCATAGAGTTCAGGCATTTGGTGTTTGATTTCCTCTCCATCAGTGCCCCTTGGACCTACTTTGGGGGACTTGGGAATTTCTAGTAGCATTTTACTACCTTGTTTTACATGTTTCTATATATTTTTGTGTTTATGTTGCTGAGGGTTCAGGCCAAATAGAGTGAAGAGGGTTTGTTGTTGGTACAAAGATCTCTTTAGATTCTGCTCTTAGTGACATGATCTTGGCTTTATCTGCCAATCTACTCAGTTTAATATTTGGACCCATCACTGAGGGTAACGAGGGCTACTGATCTAGGTAACCCTGGATCCAATTCCAAAGGTGTGCTTTACTTTGCAATTGAGCATATGTGGTTTTAGTAGATAAATTAGAAATTGTAACTCAAAGTTATCCATTTTACTTCAAATCTGGGCCTTTTGTCCTACCGGAACCTGCCTAAGTGGGGATCACAGCACTGCAGGGGGCTGTCTTCCCACCTGCCCCATATGGATCTGGAGCGAGCTTCTACATGGTGACCTGCAGGACCACGTCCCAGCTGCTGGTACAGAACACCTCCCACTGGTTCCCCGTCCTCCATGACACACTGTCCAGCAGAGGCCATACCCCTTCTCTCACAGTCTTGTTCCAGTGGCACCATGCCAGTTTGGCTGCCCCTTTTCTCCCCCAGAAGATATGGCCTGTGCCTGTGCTCTAGGAGGTGAGCTGAGCCCAAGGCAGGCCTGCCTGCTTGGGGTTCCTGGGCCTGGAATGCAGATCTGAGGCCTGGGCCGTTGGGATCTCTAGCAACATGGAGACTCTGAAGACAAGGTACCTCCCAATGGAGCAGCTCTCACATGGTAGCTGCCACCAGAGATAGGGAGTGAGAGCTGCCAGGCTGAGGAAAGACATGCCCAGAACCATGGAGCACTGTGCCCACCACTCTCCTGGTCAGAGAGGCCACATGGCAGGCTCGGGTGCAGGGCAGGGATGGTCATGGGCTTTGGATGGGAGGGGAAGGTCAATCATGGAGAGGGCTGCAGATGCACAGCGTGGGCCACCTCTTGTCAAATCAACACAAAACGTTTGCAAAGAGTTAAAAAGATGCAAGTGTTAGCCTCTTATGGCTTGAGTGTGCTGATGGTTCCACCACTGAGTGAAATGTGCTTCCCTCAACCTCGTCACGATGCTGGCCCTGTACCCATGGATGTGTGGGGCCAAAGGAGACGCACTGTGCACGCATCAGTCCCAACTCCTCTGGACACTGCCCACAGCTGCTCCTAGGTGCCCCAGGAGGGAGGTTTTGATTCTATATGCTTTCCACCATTTGTTCATGTAACTTCTTCTTTTTTTTTCCAAATAAACATTATTGAAATACAAAAACAAAGAGCTACTGGAATCGGCAGCAGTACCTGAAGAAACGGGTCATCCCAACCTGACCTGGACACAGGCCCTGAGAGCGTGGCATGCCCAGGCACACACTATCCACAGCATAGTGTTTGCCACCCCAGCCAGGCCTAACCCACAGCACAGCGTGGTGGGGGCTTCTGTTTCCCACTGCGTTGATGCCCACAGTGCTAATACAGAGACCAGTGAAACTACACTGCTGCCGATGGAGACCTTTTTGTGTTTCCTTTAAATGTCACCACCCATGGGACAGTCAACACTCTGGTCTAACCCAGATGCCAACAAGACGCTTGTCCTGAAGGGGGTGGTGTGGGAAGCCTGGAGCCCCCAGGCTGAGGTCCCCTCGTCCGTCCGTGTCCTCCGAGGGACCAGGTTGGAGCATGCTGTCATGACATGGATGGTTTTGAAAAGGGCATAGAGGAGCTGTGTCGCAGGGAGGTGGCCACCAGGCTGACCCTTACCGGGCGATCTTGTCGCTGCAGGACATGGTGAGGAGCCTCTCGCCCTGCAGCACGCCGTCCCACGTCTGGATGCTGGCGTTCGAGCGCACCGGGATGGTGCCCTCGCCGGACTCTATTTTTGTCCGTAGCTGTCCCCTAGCTTTACGATTTGGATGTCTGTCTGCTGGTTCTAGGAGAGAAAGAGGGTGTTCAGAACACACAGGGAGCAAACATCTATTAAATTTCAATAACTGGAAAGGCTTGCTAACAATACCCTATAAATACACAGCGTACTTACACAAATGGATGCATGTTTATGCATGTGTAACACATATATGCACACACATACATAAATACACAAAATCCAAATCTATAAAATTTTAAATTTGTAATTTAAATTTAAAATTTGTAAATTTATAAAATTTACCAGAAAAGACGTAAGTCAAACCAAATTCATGAGTGTGTTCTCCTCGAGGGCTGGGGACAGGGGAAGCCACTGATCCTGAAAGGATTCTTTATATCACTAACAATGAGCGGGAGGAGACAAGCAGGACAAGATGCAAAGATCTCCCAACTCTGCTAATGGATACTTAGATGTTGGTTATATTTTATTTCAAAAATAAATGAGGATTGATGCAGAATAAATCCACAGGAAATGTAAAACATCCATAGCAATTAGTCCTGGGTTATATGATATGGGTGGTTTTAATCTTCGTTCTTGTATTTTAAAACTAGTGAGCATTTTCCACACTGGGTTTGTATACTGCTTTTATAATGAAGGAAAGTAATGTAAGCGAATGTTCTGTTTGAATAAACCTCACTTATGCTTGGGAGCAGGGATGTGGATATCACCTTGCCTGCAAGGGGCAGACAGGTGTGGAGGCAACAGGCTCCGCCTCCTCGCCCAGGACGGGCAGCCCCGCCCCAGTCCCCCCAGACACAACTCACTGGAAGTGTGGAGGACAGAGCTGGCAGGTCCGGGCGACCATGTGGGACATGACTCTCAACTGAAATCTTTACCGTTACCAGTTAAGGGGAACTGGCATTTTTCTTCCTTTTTTTCAGAACCAGGAATTTTCATTCCTTAAAATGTTCTAATGAAACTATTAATTAATTGATTAATTAGGAAGAAAGACTCCAGGCTTTTATAATGACCTCTACTAGACCCACACCCAGGGCTGGAATTTACAATGACGAGAAAGGGCCTTGCTGTGGGTGCCTTCTTTCTGCCCACCCGTCCCTGGAGCAGGCTTCCGGAGGATCCGCCCATACCTTCCAGCACTGGCTCGTGCGGGGAGAAGATCCTGGCGTCGCCGCAGGGCGAGGTGCTGATGTACAGGTGGAACTGCACGGTGTCCCTCAGCCGGAACCCACCTCGCTCCGACTTCTGAAAGATGGATCTCTTCTGATCACCTCTGCTACTGCAAGGAAAAGTTGGGCAAGTGACGCTTAATGCTGTGGGCAGCCAGGAGGCCGTGCTGAGCATGACCTTCAGAGCCCAGAATTGTCATCGGGGAGAGGGGAGCTGGGCCCGGAGCTCCGGCACGTTTACGGTAACTAACAGGCCCACCAGCCACGGACCCATCATCAAACCAGCAGTGGCTGCTCCTTCTCAGGGAGCCTGCAGAGCAGAAAGACCAGTGGAGAAGTGGCCTTCACAAAACAGTTTGGTGGCCCATGTCTGTAACTTCAGCTACTTCAGAGGCTGAGGCAGGAGGCTGGCAAGTTCAAGGCCTCCCTGAGCAGTGCAGCGAGCCCTGTCTCACAGCAAAAGGGCTGGGGCTGTAGCTTAGAGCAAGGCCCTGGGTTCAATCCCCAGGCTGCCGAAAAAGGGGCAGTGGTATGTATAGGGTTAGCTCTGCCCAGGACAGGGACCAGAATGAAAACAGCCACTTCCTGGGCAGACCAGGAAGCTCCACATGTGTCCATGGGTCTTGGAGCAGACTTGGAATCTATGGCCATGTGATGCCTGCACAGGTGCCTGGGGAGTACATGCGTGTGTGCACGGATCCAGGCACTGCTGTGTGCTGACAGAAGAAGGGGAGGTTTGCTCCCCGACAGTCGCTTGCTGCTGCTGCTCTGCACTCACGTCAGATACAGCTCCAGCTGTGCGTAGAGGAACCGCAGCAGGGACCTCCGGGAGATGATCTCTGCATGGCAGTCATTCAGCGCCAGCCCTCGGTCGCTCATGTACTCGCCGTTGATGCACTTTGTCCCTGTTGAGACGCTTATCACCTTGGCGTCTTTGACATCCGTACCTGGAAGACAGGAGGAGGACATCAGTGGCTCACAGCCTGTCCGGCCCGGGCTGTCAGGGCTGGGATGTTCAGGGATTGGCAGAGCTTCAAGCTCATCCTCATCCCCCGGATGTCACTCAAACCTGCACCTGCAACGCCTCCTCCTAGGGGCCCGCTCTTGCCCCCCAGGGATGCCACATCCTGCTCTGCAGGGCACAGTGTAGCAGTCTTTCCTGATTGTTCACCCAGGAGCATGGGCAGGGGCACTTAGTGAAGGTGAGCTCGCTGCCAGACACGGTGGCGCATGCCTGTATGCCAAGGTCACGGCCAACCTGGGCAACTCAGAGAGACGCTGTCTCAGACAGAAATAAGGGCCGAGGTGCAGCTCAGTGCTAGAGTGCTCACCTGGCATGTGCACAGCCCTGGGTTCCAGCAGCAGCACCACATGCAGGCAGATGCACTCGTGTGTATACACAAGCACAGACACACATAGCCTAACTTCCTGGTGACTAATCCTAAAGCCAAATAGCCAAGCACTAAGGAGGCTGGAGGAACGGCCCCCAGGCTCCAAGGGAAACAGAAGGAAAGGGGTCTCCACTGGTGGCCTGTCACATTCAGAGTATGACCTCCACAGGGACCCCTGGTGGTGCCAACACTTGCCTGGGCAGGGTGTGCACAGGGACGGTGCTGCCTGGCCCATGCAAGGCCCGGCACAGCCCCAGTGCTGTGACCGCAGGAGACTGGAAACGGCGTGTGGTGAGCTCGTGCGTGGGAGGGCAGCAGGAGGGAGTGGAGCCCATGGAACCGGCCCACGCCAGGCCTGGGGGACCTCCTGCCCTGCATCTCACCTCAGCCTGGAGGCCACACGTGCTCTTCCCTACAGACAGGGTGACCGAGAGCCTTGGCCTGGGACAGGACAGGCCCGGCTCCCTCCGGGCAGCGCAAATGCCAAGGCCAGGTGTGGGCTCTGAGCAGTCATGGAAGACGCGGAAGGCCCCTGCAGGGGACTGGCCGCCTAGGCAGTGGCTGAGTGACCCAATAGCAGGGACGTGGCTGCCCCCTGCTTCTACACATGGGGCCCGGGCCTTGCTGGGAAGCTGCTTCAAGGCCAACTCAGGGCAGCTTTTAGCAGAGTGGAAATGCAGCAAAGCACAGGTGAGGGGGGCAAGGTGCTTGACTGGGGTCTAGCCAGGGCCTGGCGAGTCACGACACGCTGCCCGCCACACAGCTGTCATGTCTGCTGGGCACCCTGCCAGGGCGTCAGCCTCACGACCTCCCTGTGACCGACGGGGGTGCGGCATCCTGGGGCAACTCTCTGGCTGCCAGGGCCCTCCCTCTGTGCCACAACCAGCTGTCCAGGGGGCTGGGCCAAGCAGGCCCCGGGAGCTCAAGGCACTGCAGTGGGTCCTGGCCCAGCTCTGGCCATGCAGAGAGCCACGCACGGGCAGGGATGAAGTCCCCAGGAGCCACGCAGGAGTGTGGATGAGGGTTCTGGACTCCCCTGCCCCTGGGAGCTTCTGGACAGACAACATCAGGCTGCTGCCACCCCAGACACCAGTGACAGCATGGAACCGATCCCACTGCACCAGCAGTGACAATGCCGCAGGCCTGGCACCTCGGGAGCAAAGGTCACTCCTGCTGCATCTGAGCCGAGCCCATGATGGGGATGAGCGGACCCCGGCGTGGACCTGGCAGCTTCTCCAGAGGAACCGGGGTTCTTGCTGAGGCACAGCCCAGCCCCGGGCCGAGGTTTCTATGGGCAACCTACACTGGGAGACCCGCTCCTGCCGTGCCCGGGGGCCTCGCAGGCTGGCAGCACTGACCTTGTCGGCCAGGACAGGCAGGGTCCGACCTGCGTGCATTACCTGTGGTCATGACGACTCCGGCCAGAACTTTCCTGCGTGCGTGTGGCGAGGAGAAGTTGTCCGTCAGGTCGCCGAACTTACCCAGGACCAGGCGCGAGACAGCGTCTGCCAGCACCTGGGTGAGGGGCAGAGATGGGCTTGGGGCGTGGGCATGGGCAGTCCCGGCCAGTGCCTGCACACTGTCCCTCCATGGGGACACTGCAGGCTGCCCCACTCCAGAGAGTGGTGCCAGTGAGCCTGACGGACCAAAGTGCATGTGCCACACGCCTGTGTATGCACTGTGTGTGCACACATGTTTCCTCCACAACACTGCATGGGAACAGACACCCCAGGATCACATGAGGCTCTGGCTGGGAGTCCTGGCGTGGACTTAGCGGTCTGCACACATGGAGTGTGAGGCCCACAGCCATACCTGCCTCACACAGGGAAACCGAGGCACAGAGAGGTGCTGGCTCATGCCCCATGCCACTCTGCCCTATGCTCCCCGGGTTCCGTTAGCAACAGGACTTTCTGAGCAGAGAGCCTCTCTCTGTCTGCTCAGGCCAGGAGTAGAGAGCAGTGGGCGCGGGCAGTAGGGTCATAAAGAATGGGGCCTCTGCAGGCGCCTCGCCCTCAAGGATGCAGATGCTCTGCACATGCACCTGACCTGGCCCAGCGCCCAGCGCTCAGCCCAGCCTTAGGTGAGGGGAGGCTCACACCTTCCACTGAAGGAGGGGCAGCAAGTGTGCCTCCCGACGCCCGGGGGCACAGGGTGTGCACGTCAGAGCGCAGCTCTTGCTGGAGTCTGGAGAGAGCCTCAGCATTCCCGCTGTCTGGGCAGTGATGCCGCTGCAGGCCCGGGGAAGGGCAGAGCTCCAGCACTCTGTCCTGCCAGTCGCACTCCTCAGTCAGACGGACCCGATTGTCCCACCTGCCACCAGCAAGCACTTCCCAGATGGACAGACACGTCCCTCATCCCAAGGATGCTGCAGATGTCCCTCCAGCCCTGGACCAGCAGAACCCCCTGGGCCCAGTGGTGTCACAGCAGGACAGGTGGTGGCCAGGTCCCCACTCTCAGGGGACCTCGGCGACAGGTGAGAGCACAGGCAAAGGGTCAAGAGCAGACGGGGCCGAAGGCCAGGGGCTGGGGTGAGGACCGAGCCCTGAACTCATACTGAAAAACAAGAAAGTGCTAAGAGAGGAAGAGTAAGCCCGAGAACCGTCTCTGGGACCTGCAGGGGCAGGTGTGTCGCAGCATTGAGAGAGGCATGGGCGCAGCACAGGGCCAGTGACCTGCAGACCGGGCCTGGCACCTGTGCTGGTGTCTCTGGAGGACCCAGCTCCCAGGCCCCAGAGTGGCTCCCAATCCCCACAGGGGGCTGCGGGCCTGCCCTGAGCAGGTCAAGAAGTGGCTGGCTTCTAACCTTTCAGCGCAGACACAATCACAAAAGCAGCATGCTCTTAAAAGTCCAGCCCCATCACAGTCCCTGCAGCGACACAGAGCATGGGAGGCCTCGTCACAGCTAGGTGGGGACAACACAGTCTGCAGTTATAACTCGCCTATGCCTCCATTGCAGCAGCACAGAAGGGTGCTTGACCTACGTCCTCCGAGGGAGCAGCAAGGTCTGCACCCACCCAAGAAGCACACGTGAAACTTCCTGTCAAAGCCAGTGAAGGGCCGGGGATTTAGCTCAGTGGTTTCGCCGCCTGCTGTGCAAGCACAAGGACCCAAGTTTGATCCCTGGTACCAAAAAAAAAAAAAAAAAGCCAGTGAAGCCGGTGATACGGCCCCAGGGCTTGGACCCAGCAAGGCCACCACCAGGTCTCCTGTGGAGAAACTGTCACATCTGAGCTACCCTGGGGCTGCCACCCAGAGCAGAGGAGCACAGCCCTGCTGGCCTGTGGTTCTGGACAGAGGTGCAAAACTGGGAGGACAGTGAGGACAGGACAGGCTGAGGGGACCTGGATCCCAGCAGATGCAGCCACGCCCTGGCCAGGAGTACGGTCCTTTCCTGAGGTCAGTGAGACACAGGGGCACCACACCCCCTCGTGGGGACTTCGGTCTGCTGCCCCTGAGCTGCTCACCCTGCACAGTCCCAGGCCTTGTAGGCCACAGCCTCAGAGTGGTCCTGAGGGTCCCGGACACCCTGTCAATGAGGGGAGACCGCGTCACAGCAGGTGGCCAGGATTTTCTACCAAACAGAAAGCCTGGGAATTAAACGGCACCGGGTCTAAGGCCGCTGCTTTGTAAAGTGACAAATGGAAGAATGATTCCCAGGAAGAGTGCGAGCAAGGAGTCAGCAAAGAAAGCAATGCATGGCCCGTGAAGAACCGGAGACATTCTGGATGGATCACTCTCCCCACGTGTTGTTTTTGGTTGCTTCAGGCAAAAGAGACATCTTTTCACAAACTGGGAAGAACTAGGCACCTCAGGCTCCAACTGAGGAGCTTCCTCGAGCTGCATCAAAGGCGGAAGAGGAACTCCTGGGGAAGCACATGGCTTCCTGTCCGTCACATCCGTGTTTCCTGGTCAGATGTAGACTATGCCACAGACAGGAGAGCGCCTGACAGAAAGGAGCTAATATGCAAGATGGCAGAAGAGGTTCCTCACAAGCCAAACGGGACCCAGGCTCCTAAGGAGAGTCTGGTGCCAGACTCACTGGGCCCCGGGACTGAAAGCCCTTCTCCCTGAGCCTCTTCCTCTCTTCAGCTTGACTGCCAGGGGCTGGGGTGTGGCAGGGGCAGGAACAGGCCGGAGCAGCTGCCCAGCCCAGCCGAAGCAGGGGGCCCAGGTGGATGCTAGGGAGGAGATTCGGGGTACAGAGACCCCCCAGGCAGCTGGAGGGCTGCAGAGCACCCACATGTGGAAGCAGCCCCCCTCTCTGGCCCTTCCCCACACCCCAGGCTGGTGCACCCCACCAGCTGGGGCTCCTTCTCTGCTTAGCCAGGTTCTACACCTTGGGAATGCAGCCACCAGCCAGCCCCTCGGGGTGAGGCCCGGTGCCCGACCCTGATGGGCTCCCAGCCGCCCTGAACACGGGAGGCTGCTTGTGGGGAACACAGCAGGAAACAGTGCTCGGGCTCCTGCCCCAGATTCCTGATAAAGCTTCCTGAGATAAGGGTCCCTGTGACAGAAACCCTGTGTGGTGCATAGATGGGGCCACCGTGTCCCTGCCCTGCACCTCAGGGCCCTGGCATGCAGCGGGAGGCCACTGGGCTGCTCCGTGGCCACAGAACCCGGGGAGGCCGCCCCACAGCAGCACAGCAGTGACCGCCCGCTACAAGGGCAGCAAGGAGGGGCAGCGCATGGTGGCTGCTCTTGAGCGTGCTGGTGTCGGGCACGGGGCCTCCTCACCTGCGGCAAGTGCAGCTGCAGGCCCTCGCTGAGCACAGGCTGGCGCGACGGAGTCTGGTCCAAGTGCAGGTTGAAGATGGCGGCCAGGGCGGACTGAGCGGCCCGGGCCTTGGCCAGCTTCTTGTTCCGCCCCGAGCCCTCGAAAAACTGGCCGTCCACCACCACGGACATGACGAAGCTCTTGGCGTGGCTCTCGCCACTCTCAGACAGGAAGTCGTACTTGAGCCCCGGGCGAAGCTCGTTCAGGATCATCACGGGGTTCTTCCCACTGGGCGGTGGGAAGGGAGGTGGCACAGGCAGCGGTGGCTGGGCCAGGCTGGCGGGCACCGGCGAGGCCGACAGGCTGAGGTCCCCGCTGGAGCTGAAGGAGTCGTCGCCATTGGAGCCCACGTAGAAAGGCGGCTCGGCCTTGTCGGGGGTCTCGAAGCCGTTGAAGAGTGTGTCGGGGAAGTCGGCCTGGTCGGATGTGAAGTCCGTGTTCACGGACAGGGTCCTGCCCATGGCAAGGTGGGCCTCGGAGGCGTTGGGGAACTGCACGAAGGAGCGCAGGGCCTTCTCGGCCGCGTGCAGCTTGGCCTTCTTCTTGGTGGGGCCCGAGCCCTCGAACACCTGCCCGTTCACCTCCACGGACATGACAAAGCATGGGGCGTGCACGGGCCCTGTCTGTGACAGCAGCGTGTACTGCAGGCCTGGCTTGATCTCATTCAGCTGCATCAGGGCGTTCTTGGGCAGCACGGGTCCTGGCATCTTCCTCCGCTTCTTCAGGCGGTACTTGGAGTGGCCATTGCTGCCCTCCTCCAGTGGCCTCTTCCTGCCACTTCCACTGCCACCCCCGTTGGAGAGCTGGGTGCCCTCGACAGGACCGGGTGTGCCACTGTCCCTGGGGGACACGTTGTCCAGATTGCGGTTTTCTTTAACATCTGCGCTGCTGGAACCTGCGATGCCCAGAAAGAGTAACTTACAACGCCTTCGTTGCAGGATCTTGTAAATGCAAAATTTATAGATTCCTTTACCTCTTTGTGACCGCTTAAGTGGTGTGTGTGTGTGTGTGTGTGTGTGTGTGTGTGAGAGAGAGAGAGAGAGAGAGAGAGATCTGCCCTCTAGAAAAACACGAGGAACTGTAGATTGGGCCAAAGAACCCTCCGGAGAGGATGCTGAATGGTGGCTAATATCTCTTTTATTTAGTTCACCACTGCTTTTACATTAACAGGTAACAGTTTTAAACCAGGTGTGGTAGTGCACACCCATAATCACAGCACTCTGGGAGGCTAAGGCGGAAGGAGAACAAGTTTGAACCCTGCCTGGGCAATTTAACAACTTGGTGAAACCCTGCCTCAAAACAAAAACAAAAATAGTGCTGGAGATGTAACTCAGTCCAAAAGCCCTGGGTTCAATCAATCCCCCATACTACCAAAAAAAAGTTAAAAATGTTTAGTCATTTTTCTACTGAGAATAATCCAATCTGCCCAGAGATACAGCTCTTCCCTTAGGCTTGTCAAAATGCCGGACAGTAAGAATCCAGAACTCTCACTACGTCTGATGAAATGCAGTGTAGTCCATCAGTATATGGATGGACGGACAGGCAGATGGACAGACATGTACCTCAGTGTGCTCCTCCCTCCCAGGACCCTCAAGGTGGCTGCTCCAGTGTCCCTGGCTTTCACTGCCCATCTCTCAGCAGAGCGGGTGCCATCCCTAAACCCTTGGGCTAACCGGGTCCTCAGGGTTAGAACGTACAACCAACCCAGTGATGAATTGATTTAGTTTATCAACCAATTGCAGAAAATTGCTTGTCCTTGTGTAAAGTAATATGACTTTCTAGAAAATTTTTTTTTTTTTTTTGGTATTGGGGATCAAACTCAGGACCTTGCGGCTGTAAGGCTGGCACAGTGCCACTGAGCTAAATCCCCAGCCACTAGAAATTCTTTTTGAAAGACATAGCTTTATTTCTGGTATTCATGTAAGATTTTTCATTACATATAGGGACTGTTTATTTTAGAATCCTTACTATGTTCCACGATAAAAAATAATAACAAAATATCAAGTCAAAGCTACAAGCAGAATACAACTTCCTAAGTTCATAAATATATCTAACAATTTTGTCTTTCTAATTGGGCCAGGAATTTAGCTCAATGGCACCGCACCTGACTCACAAGCACAAGGTCCTGAGTTTGAGCCCCAGTACCAAAAAATCAAAAATCAATTAATTGATGTGTTTCCTGAATAACTGATCCTACTTCATGTTTAAAATCAGTAAAGATAATTTTAGGATTCTAAAAGTACATGGCAAAATAAACATGATTGCGATTTTAAAAGGGGAAAATTTTTAAAATGTTCACTCCTGCCTTTAAGTTTATTAAACATTTTTAAAAGAAAAAAATCAATCCTTTTTATCATAGTTTTACAGGTCACTTGGCTTAGGACTTTGCAATGCTATAGATGTTTAGGTAATTAGACTTTCTACCAGTAGCTTCCAAAAACCCTTATCTTTTAAATAATCAAAATATTCTTACAATTGTAAGTGCACCCTAATATGACCGTTTAGGGGATGCTTCTACTATATAACGTGAAGAGGTTTCTCATTATGCTGAGCAAGCTGAAAATCCTGAGGATGTTTGTCAGTGGGACCACGGAAGGTTTAGGTGACAGTGTCCTGGGCATCGCCAGTCCTTGACACTAAAGCTGCGAGCGCCCAGGGCTGGGTCCTTCGGCCCAGGCAGCGAAGGAGCCTGCTCTACACACAGCCCGGGGAACTTCTCAGGATGCCCAGCCTCCAGGACACCCGACACACACACCACTTCCCTCGGTTCACAAAGCAATGGAATGTTTGCTAAATTTTCATTTATAACATCCTCCAGCAAAAGGCCGGTAGGTTACTCCTTTCGGTGCTTAAGGGAACAAAGGTTTAAGAAAGTAGAGCCAAGAAAAAATCGAGAGATTAGTGGAGGGAGAGAGAACATCACACACTAGACACCACTTACAGTTCACTGCCATCGCTACAGTTACCAGCATAGAGAATCAAATCAGAAGCGTACTGACATGCATTTAATCAAGTATTTATAACCTCGGAAACAACCCATTCTTTCTTTTCAGACACAATGATAGTCAGCATCAAGCTGACAAATAGTCTTGTAAAGAGAAGAAAAGTACACTGTGGCATAGCACAACAGTCTTGAACTCTTATGTACTTCAAAAGGACCAGTGAAGTTAAGTAAAGGAGAATAAAACGCTAAGCCTGGAGGAGACTCTGTTCTCGAGAGGCCTCCTCTCTGCACACTAGAGCACCACTTTCCCGAACAGTGAGCGTTCATCACGATGAAACTTTTCGTAGCTCTCAAACAGAGAGAAAACACAGGCCTGGCATTGCAGTTTTGGCACAACACCGAGCAGCTTCTCTTTCCAGAAAACTCCTTGGAGGGTCTTCCTCGGGTTAGGTCACAGGGCCTGGGGGCACCGTCCAGTCCCCACAGGCGGCACTAAGGGCCCCCAGCACACACCCGGGTACGGCGCTGGCGCTGCACGAGACCTGTGCTCTGAAACAGGAGTGTGAGTTCACTCTCGCTCTTAAAAGTGGCAGCAGGACAAGAAATGGCAGGTGGAACACCCAGCAAACGCCCACGGCTGGGTCTGTAAAATATCTCAAGAGCAGGACGAGGAGGGCAGCACCTGAGAACACCCCGCAGCCACGGGCAGCGCACATGTTGGCAGAGCCTTGCACGCTGGGCCAGGGCCGTCCATGCCACTCGGGGCCACACTCAGCGGTGGGAACATCTGCCACAGCCCACGAGCAGGCCCAAGGCGAGCCATGGCACTGTCTGCAGACACCTTGGGGTGGTGGCTCTTGGGGGTGGATGGGAGCAGGCCTGCGTCCCGTGGCTGCACCATGCATGAGTCATGGGAAGTGCACTGTGCAGCCTCTGATGTTAGAACCACTCCCAGTAAACGGGTTGGCCCTGGGAGCCACGTGTTCTTGCTCAAGACAGATAATGTGCCATGCCAGCAAGAAGACACTGTCCCCAGGCAGCTCCTCATGGTGGGCCCGACTTCCGGGGATCATCTCCCCTTCCTTGGGCACCCACTGCCCTCTGGAACTGAGGGCAAAGCAGAAGTGAGAGATGCAGTCCCACCAGCCCAACTCTCAAAGTCTCTGGAGACCAGGACCACGGGAGACCCCTCTGCATTCCAGAGGGCCAGTGTCGCAGGGGGCTGTGCACACTGTTGCCCAATGACGGGCGTCTGAGTCGATCTCGAAGTTGTCCTCGACTTAGGATAAGGACCAGGCTGCAACACGATGTCACGTGAAACCGCGCAGAGCTACGAGACTGTGCACCTAAGGACATTTCCAACAAAAAGACGGCCCATGGCGGTGGGGACTGGGAAATCTAGACAGGTGCTGCAGGGAAACATCCAGGGTAAATGCTGAAACCTGCTGTACAGAATCTATGAAAATACACCACTGCCAACAGCCCAGAGCAAAGGGAACATCCAGCTCCCCAATTCCTCTCGTTAATCAAGCTTACAACATGCTAAACCATTAACGGGAAACGAGCTGAGACTACACGGTAGGCCTAGGTCTTACTCATGTTGTCTTCATCCTCTACATCCATGGCAAAATACTTTCGAGGGCTTCTTGACTGGTGGAGATGGTTCCTGTCTGAAACAAGCAAGAAAACAAGAATCAGTGAAGCGAGGTCGGTCTGCCCCGTGGAATGGTCACAGCATCACTGCAAATTAAAGAAGCAGTCGTGACACCAGAACATCAGGTCAGCCACGAGGGATAGGATATTCTCAGGCTCTCACCTCCTGGTGCTTGGGCCACTGAAGGACCCTGACAGTGGAGGAGGGCATGGGGTCATGGCCAGGGGCCTGGGGCCATTCCAGGGTGGAGGGCCACGCAGAGCACTGAGTGGGCAGTGGGGGGGGGGGACCTGGAGCTCGGGCCACTTCACGACAGCAACCACAGCTCAGATCCGTGTGCCATCCAGTCCTGGCCCCGGCAGGCCTGTGGTTTGCACTATAAAAGCAAGGCACGTCTCAAGACCCAGTGGCCCTCATTCCATTTCAGCTGACCCCCAGCGGTACCTGAAGAGCCCCCCACGGTTGAGGCCAGGCAATGTGCCACTGATAAACCTAACGCCATTTCCTAGCTGTGCACAATTTATCACCTGGCTGGCAGGATAGGAAATCTTCAAAGAGCAATTACTTCAACGGCCTAATTATTAACAAACTTAAGGGTTTCCTCTTCCTCAACATTTCTGATACACTTTGCAAGACTCTACTAACAGTCTATGAGAAAGAAACCCATCAACCTGCAAGTGAGGAAAAAAATCCCCAAATTTGCAAAGCACACATTCCTTTGTATACAAATAAACTTAGATTATAAATGTTGAAAAGGTAAATTCATTGCTTTTAGGGAATGCTTATTAAACGTGCTAAGACATGCACAGATGCCACTTATTTCATATATCATATACATGAAGTATATATTTTTCAGGAAAATCATGTTAGCAATGTTTAATCTCACTGCACTTTTAGCAAATGTACTGCTAAAGGTTAACCGAGTTTCTGTGTGGGATCCTTTATTTGGGAAAGTCTTCCAGATAGTTTTAAAAGCATTGTTATTTCATATTTATTGATTACTCCACGTTTTCTGAGAGTCTATTATGTGCCAAGCTGGACACCCAAGAACCTTGAGCCAATCTGATGTTGCATCTGAGGAATCCAGTGTGACTGACCGCTTCCCGAACAGCGCCCACACACGGCCAGTTCAGAGCTGCTTCCTTCCCACCCCGTGCCGCACACCACAGCACAAGGTCCTGGGGGACCCCGCCAGCCTCCGCTGGCACTGGGGGCCCTGGAGCCAGCGGGAGCAGGTGCAGCTCAAGCCCACACAGCGAGGCCACATCTCCTGCCCTGCGGCGCATGTGCCGGGGAGTCAGCTGAGAGAGGGGCGTGGGTTCCACCTTGCGGCTCTTGGTGCAGTAAACAGGGTGCCAAGAAAACACCAACCACGAGAACCAAGAACCCGGGCGAGCTCAGAGGGAAGAGAGAAGTCGGCAGACGCCAACGGAGGGGACGCAATGCCGAGTGGCCTCGGGAGCAAAGCCCAGCAGCGCAGCGCTCCTGGCCCGGCCACCACCAGTGCACAGTGTGGCACCGGCAACAGGCGACAGGCAGGGTGCCCAGCGAACAGCGGGGGCCCGGAAATGACCCACGCGCTGCGCCCGCCCCTGGACAAGGCGGGGGCAGCGCTGTACTGACTGCACCAGGACCAAGGGGGCGTCCCTCTCGGCCCCATCACACACCCGGTCTCTGCGAAAAAGCCTAAAGCTTTATGAATCTTTAGTTAACTCTATGAAATTACTGTTGAATTCTTTTCTACCATAAGCAGAAATATAGCTGGTATATTTGGTACATATTAGCTGTAAATCGATACCTGAGTTGTCTTCAGGTTCTCCCTATAATTGTGAATTTCTTAGAGGTAAGGGCAGTACATGATTGGTTCTTATGGCATGTTAATATAAAATTTATCTTGGACGATACTACTATAGCTGATCTGCTTGATATTATCAGAGTACCACAACTGTTGCTATTAATGGGCTTTCCCTGTAAGCCAATGCTCAGATTACCTTATGGCACTAACAATACTAGAGTCCCAAGTTAACAGAGGTGGTTGGATTTTGGGGATGAGGCAAAGAACTATAATTAGCCATGCCCAAAGTTCATCACTGAGAAGTGACTGACTAAAGAGAGCTCTATACTAGCAACAGAGTCTTTACATTGTAAGTGCCCACAAACCTCAGCATAAAACAAAACAAACAAAACAATAAAAATGAGAAGACAGGCAACAGAACACCTCCTAAAATTCCCAACTCGCCTGAAGCTAATCTGGGGGGTTAAGGGGGAGAAGAGCATAAACTACACTACCAAATTACTTGAAAGGATAATAGAGAAGGTCAGAAAACAAGGGCCAGGATTTAGCTCAGTAGTCCCAGTGCCTGCCTGGCAAGCGCAAGGTCCTGAGTTCGATCCCCAGTACCAAAAAAAAAAAAAGAAAGAAAGAAAAGAAAAGAAAACAGATCAAGGAGGTACTCAGCAGGAATCACAGAAAGATATAACTGAACAGATAATGGAATAAAAACTAAAATGATCTAGGAGCTTTCAGAAGACACCAATAAAAAGCTAGATGAGCTAAACAAAACTATACAAAACACGAATGACCAGTTTAGCAAAGAATTAAGAGTCCATGAGAAGGTTTCAATCAAAACTAGATCTAACAGTTGCTGGATGACACGAAGATTAATCTAACTAATGGATTAAGTGGAAGATAGAAGACAACATAAATGGCATACAAAAACCTGCTCACAGGAATAATGGTAGAAAACATACCAAATATAGGGAAAGAAATAAACATACAGATAAATGAGGCATCTAGAACCCCAAATAGCCATGACCAAAAGAGAACCTCTCTGGCCACATAATACTCAGAGTACCAGAAGTCCCTCACAGGGACAAAAAAAGGCTGGTAGAGAAAGACAATGGAGTCACATATAAAGGTGAACCCATTAGAATCACAGAAGACTTCTCTACACAAACCTTAAAGGCCAGGAGGACTTGGAGTGAAGTGTTTCAAGTCCTAAAAGAACAACCACTAAGAGCCGGGGATGTAGCTCAGCGGCGCCGCGCCTGCCTGGCAAGTGCAGGATCTTGAGTTTGAACCCCAGTACCCAAAACAAAACAAAACACCAAAAAAAGAATGAGGTAAAAATAAAAAGCAAACAAGAAATAAAACATTTTTAAAAATGACTTCTAACCCCAACTTACGTATTCTGCAAAACTTTCCTTCAAAATTGATGGAGAAATAGATATTTCCATGACAAGGAGCACCTCAAGAAATTCATGACCACCAAACCAGCATTACAGAAATATCTCAAGGACATCCTAAAAACAGACAATAAAACCAAGAATGCCAGTAAGTTAGAAAGAATCACTACACTCCGTAGGATGAGCAGCTAAGCAAAAGGGAAAAAATAAGAAAATCAACAACAGAAAAGTAATGCAATGACAGCAATAAATCAGTATCTCTCAGTAATAACTCTCAATGTGAATGGTCTCCATTCCCCAATCAAAAGACACAGATTGGCAGACTAGATCAAGAAACAAAACACAACAATATACAGTATAAAAGAAACACATTTAATTCAAAAAGAAATTCACATATTAAAAGTGAAAGGATGGAAAACAATATTCTATACAATGGGGAGTCAGAAAAAAGCAAGGGTAGCTATCATAATTTCAGACAGAGCGGACTTTAAGTCAAGACTGATCAAAAGAGACAGAGCCAGGGATCTACCTCAGTGGTGCCGCCGCCTGCCTCACAAGTGCAAGGCCCCAAGTTTGATTCCCAGTACCAAGAAAAAAAAAAAAAAGACAAAGGTCACTATCTATTGTTCCCTATTGTTAAGGGAACAATTCAGCAAGAAGAAATAACAATTATAAACATATATGCACCAAATACTGGCATACCCAACTTCATAAAACAAACACTAACAGGACCGGGGATTTAGCTCAGTGGTTTCACCGCCTGCTACACAAGCGCAAGGACCTGAGTTTGATCCCTGGTACCAAAAAAAAAAAAAAAACCCAAAAAACAAACACTAACAAACACAAAAAAACAAGATAAACATCAACACAATTATAAGGAACCTCAATATTCCACTGTCACAAATAGATCAATTAGACAAAAAAAATCAACAAAGAAATATCAGAACTGAACCAAACCTTCAAGTAAATAGATTTAATATATATTTACAGTGTTCCATCCAACAACAACAGAATACACATTCTTCTCAGTCGCATGAGACTTTCTGCAAAATAGACCATATACTACCAATAAAGCATGCTTAAGTAAATGCAGAAGTGAAATTATTCTATGGTTATCAGATCATAGTGCAATCAAATTAGAAATCAATGGCAAAAGAAACCACAGACTCTTTGCTAACACATGGAAATTAAACAATACCCTTGTTAAGGCTTGTGTCTAGATGTCTCCATGAAGCCTCAAGGACTTATCGGAGGGAGCTCTGGGAGGTGGCTGTATCTAGGATGTGTGATTCTAGGGTTAAAGTGGATGCATCTAGGGTGTGTGATTACTAAATTAGTCCACTGATTAGTCTAGCTAGTTCTGGTTATGGATAATGGAAAGGCCCACCTGGGTGTGGGTGGCACCACCCAAAGGGCAGGTAGCCTGGAAGGGACAAAAGAGAGAGGCTTCTGCTGCTGCTGTTGCTGCTGCTGCTTCTTGCTTGCTTGCTTGCTTGCTTGCTTGGGGCTTTGCTGTCTCTTGCCTGTTTTCCAGGGTCTATTTCTCCTCTGTGATGCCCCTCCTACCACGCCATCCTGCCTTGGAGCCAGCCGATTATGGACTGAAACCTTTACAAACTGTGAACTAAATAAACCTTTCCTCTTTTAACTTTGGGTGTTAGCTATTTTGACTAAGACAATCTTCTTGAATAATCAATGAATCACAGATGAAATTAAAGAACAATTTAGTTCCTACAGCCAAACAATAATGCCAGTACAACATACCAGAACCCATGGGACACAATGAAAGAAGACTTAGGGGGAAGTTTATAGCTCTGAATGTCCACATCA